TTTTTTTTGCATTGCCATTTTTTTTCTCTCAGTATTTTCCTTTTTCTTGGCAGTCAGGCCCTGGAATCAGTGCCCACCCTGTCTGCCAGCTCCAGTCAATCCTTGAAATGCTAGTAGGCCAAGCTCCAAAAGGATGTGAAATTATTTTATAAATGGCAATTATTTTAAATCTAATCCTTCCCAAAAGAACTCTCGAGCAATTTTTTCCTCTCTGTATTCAAGTTATTTCTGACAGTGGCTTTATGTGAGCCTTTGCAAATTCATCCTGGTAACAACTTAAAACATTTCCACAGGAGGACAAGGATGGCAGGAGAGGTCTTCCACCAGTCCCACTGTCAGCCTCAATGCTTCCTTTATTTGTGGGTAGTTTGCAGCTGCCTTTATGCCCAGGTGTTTATCAAGTGTGTCTCTTGCTGCCCCATATCCCAGATATTTTTAAAGTTTTCATGTCAAGAAAAAAGTTTTGTATTTTCTGCCATATTTTGTCTAGTGATGTATTTTAACACTGATTTCTCAGGGGACGGGGGCTGTGTATGGACAGCCCATAGCAACCAACAGTCCCAGTTTCACCCAGCACAGTTCACCACTTCTCTAAGAATCACCTTCAGTCAGCACCTTCGCACGTGTCCATGGTGCTCACACTGCTGCCCCCTGCCCCACACAGCCCCTTGGGAAGGAACTGCAGACTACGATGGCATTAGATTGTATTTTTCATGCTCTCCTTCCACCAAAGAGAGAGCACCCTGACAGCATTGGCTAAAACAGGTCCTTGTCACAGAAAGTGGAAAATTGGTAAAAACTGGTTCCCCTTCAAGAGCAATGCACCCAGTGCCTATTCGCTCTACACCCTTGTCTTCGTTCAGCCACCCTCTGACTCAGACATGGCGGATGCAGGGGGGAAATGGCACCAAGACACAGCCTCTGAAGTGGCAACATGCTCCCAAATGTCACAGGTGCATCTGTGCCCCTTGAGTCTGGGCTGTTCTGACACCTCCCGGCACCTACCAACCTGCACCCTTGGCAGGGACACTGTGTATTGCCAGGAAAACCCATGCAGGTATTTGAAGTCAAGGTATCTGGTAACACACACAGCACCCCAAAACCTTCTAGCAGGCGGCACTTTCGTTATGACTGGTCCTGGGAGGTTGGAGGTCCAGATTTCCCACTCCATAGCTTTTGTGGGGGATAATTTCTTGTCTCACTTTGCATCTCTTTCACGCCCCTCCCAGCTTTCCACAAGGGGCTATCCAGAAAACACGGTGGCATTTTGGAGAACTTAGGATCAGCACTCAACAGCTCCTGTCCACAGGAGCAGCCAGATAAGCACATTATTTGCAAGTGTCTTTCCAACAAGCTCAGCCAACGACAGTTGTTTGCAGGTGCTTTTCATTTGACTTCTGGTTTTCTGAGACTTTAGGGTGCACTTGGGTCCCATTTGCCAATCCTTCTCTACAGCCAGGTGCTCTGGATACTTTATTGTTAATACTTCCTAAGTGAAACCTCAGCTTCTCCCATTATGACA